TAGACGGCCACCAAATACGCTTCGACGAAGTGGACATTCTGCACCAATCTGAAAGATACTACCCGAGACTCACCAGAGGCCATCGAAATATTTAAACACCAAAACAATTTGTTAAAATTGTTTTGGTCTTTAAATATTTATAAAAGAAATGAAGAAATTACGGCACTCAATCCAGATTGGAAGCGCGTTTTGCGCCAAACAGCATGTGCGCCGAAGCGTTGGAACCCCCACCCATCCCCCACGCATGAGCTCACACGGCTGGGCTGCATAAATACGACGGGGAATCCAGCAGTTGAGTCAGTCTTAGTCGGAAAGCACGGGAGATCACTTCGCCCACTGCCTCATCGCCTTTGATAATGTCCATCGCAGTTGTGGACGTCAACGTCAGGAAGAAATTCCCATAGACCACGGCTTCAGAGCCCGGAAAACATTCCTAAATGTTATCAGTTAATGCTTAATCTAATCCTATTTACATTCGCCGACCTTGTGTTGCTAATTTTAACAAAATTGCTGTTAAAATTGTATGTAAATAAATGCAAACAAACCTCCGATTGTTAACGTTTCGATGGAGTCCTTTTTCCCCGGTCAGCTTTATCAATGTAAATCTAAATAAATGAGTTAATTAGCTTAGGGATAATCCACACTCCAGACAATCTCTTGATTAACTAGCAATACGGTTGTCCGACGAACTTTGAGCTTTTAACGACAAGCGTTAATCTCGGGAGTTGTTTTTGCTGAACAGTGTTATTCACATGGATTATGTTGTCTTGTGGATCGTGCAAAATTAAATGGGAAAGCAATGCATGATGTGATAACGGTGAAGTATTATTATCACGGTTTGCAGCCAACAAAAACCATTTTTCGAGGCAAAAATGTGTCGAGCAATTTGTTTTTCGCTAGCACTTTTTCTTTGAGAACATCTTGTATAACTTTCATGTTTATATTTACCAAATAAATTATCATTTTTTACTAAAATATTTGGCCGCTAAAATATCTGCATAGTAGTCAACTAATTTATGAAATTCTTCAATTGAAAATTTAACAGCGTCAGCGTTTACATTCCTTAAAAACTACAATACAACAGTTTATTAGGTTAACAGGTGTGTAAGTTATTACACACAATGTATCTTAGGAAGTTTTAATTTATGCAGTAGATTAATACGACTAATTTTCCACGTGGTTAAAAGTCTTATTATGCGCTAGTGGATTATAATTCTGAATCCATAAACAAACAATCTGTTGTAGTGGAAGCGTGTCCAAGACTTTATAGTCTGCTTAACTGTCTCTATTTTCAAATTCATAACTTTTGCTAAAAACACATTTGTTAAACAGGACATTTTTTAAAACAGAGTTTCTGAATTTTTTTACATCGGTTTTGGTCATAGCCGTGATTAAATCGTTAAATTACACTAGGAAATTAACAGCCCCTTTTCCCCTTGAAAATAATTAAGTTTAAATGCGTACATTAAATAAATCGTGCATTAAATGCGTACTAATGCCCGTTTAATAATTAATAATAATAATTAATAGCTATCATTTTTTAGCATTGATGTTGGCTGGTCTGGTCTACTACTCATGTGAAAGAAAGCATGATCAATTAAGCCGCAAGAATCCAGCAGACTACATTAATGATGTTTGAATGAATACGAGAATATGTTGTAATAAATAGATTATTCGACAACATGCATTAAATTTTATGCATATCATGTACATTATTTTCTTATAACCATTAATACATTTTATTTTATTCACATTCTGTTGGGTTTAAACAGGACCTGTGCAGGGTGCTTAATGGTCGATCGCATATTAAACGATTGGGGATAAGGCGACTCCCAATTGTTTTTGAAAATATGAATACGGAAACTTTAAAAGTGAGTTATAGAGTTAACTGCCTTAAAATAATTAGTTAATTTCTTTGGTATTCACACAGACTACTTCATATTTATTTATTTATTTATTTAAAATTCGTTTTTTGGATCTGGTTGAATTGACATGCTACGTTTTCTGGAACACTGTTACCTTGATATTTATAGCTGCTTAATTTTGATTTATAGAGACCAGGGCTTCGTTCCAAAGGAATGGCAGCTACAAAGCCCACAAGGGCCAGCAGAAAAATCGACTTCATAGCTCTTTTTTTAGAGTAAAAAACTAGGATATTTATCCGAACGAGACTGATTCGAGATTTTTGAGTTCGCATTTATACACAAATATTATCAAGAATAGTGATGAATTACTTTGCATCTCATCCTTATCAATTGTTTTCATGCCAACAACCATTTGCCGGCCTGCGAAACAAACATGTTCGTTGAATCATTGATTAATTTAATGCAAAATAATCGCTTTGAGATAACCAATATTGTCTTAAAAGGAGAAATGCAAGGAAGCCAATCGATTATTTGTATACGTATTTTCTTATACAATACGGGTTATCTTGAAGAGTGAGGAATTAAATTCAGAAATGTAAATGATCAATAAAGTTCAAATAAAGTATGGGAAATAAACACCGAAATTTACCTACAACTTCCTTTCCACAATTTTTTTGAATCTATGTTTCTCTGTATTTAATTAGTTACTGATTAACGCCTGCTAATTTGATAAAGTAGCAGGATTTAATTATCAGGACCAATTAATATTTGATAGTAAAGCTTAGTTCTGATTAACTTTTTTCCATATTGTCAAAAATAAAGGTTTCATAAACTTTTGAGCAAAATTTACATTTTTTCTGAAGCACAGACAGTTGCAAAAAAAAATAAATTTGATTGTTGCGTTTTACATTCGAGAACATGCAGAACTTTTTATAAAGAAGAACTTTTTGTCGCAAAAATAATAATAAAGACGTTATCCATGAGTTGCAATTAAATTGGAAATATTTAGATTTACTAATGAAATTTGCGGATTTAGGTGTGGGAACATGGATGAAATGGCGTTCTAATACGAGATGTTCTGATAAGATAATGGATACAAAATATATATTAAGGACCATTCTGGGGAAGCCGTCAAAAATAGATATATCTATACAATCGAATCTATAAAGCTAAAAGTCTCATTATACATAGGCAGAAGAAATGAGAATATCGCAGTTTATATTTAAAAAGAGTTTCTTTGAATTTTTAGAACAATTTTAGCTTTTGTTTTATGTATCAACTTATATATAAACACCTTTATCAACCCATATATAATTACCTCGAGTTAGCTAATCGAATAAACATAATTAAATGAAATCTACCTGTTGCAAATATCGATTAAATAACCGAAGGGCAAACCCGAAACTCCGCTAAATGTAGGCCTGTTGATTTCGGGGCAGGTCGATTAGATCGCATTTATTAATGTAGTTCTTTTAACCTTGATAAGGCTGAACCTAAATAGAGCGCGCAACAACCAGTTTCGTGATATCTATTTATGGACAGAAAGGTATATTTTTAGGATCATTCGTTTGGCCCTTAACTTCCAATGTAAATTATTTCGAAGCTTCGTGTGTAATAACGAGCGGACCGCACGCCGTTTAATATTACCATTAGGCAAAATGAGCCAATAATACAAAATTTATTATCTTCGAGGTAGTCATTAGGAATCCTAATGGCAAATTTATTTTTCTGTCATGGTTTTTAAATTTACAAACTTTTTCTGGTATTTCTACGAAATGTCTTACACGCTTATCGCTGCCATTACTGGCCCAAGAAATATTAATTAAAGTAATGACTACTGAATAGATGGACAATAAAATTGAATAGTTCTTTTTATGATATATAGTTTATAAGAGGTATGAAGGGGTATTTTTCACACTTCAGTGAATGGACCAAAACCACAAAAACATTTTCAAAATTGCAGATGTACCGGAATTAAGAAACTTAATTAAGTCTTAAATGCAACTTCGACTTCATTCGAAAAATAAATACTGACCAAATTTATGCCGCAAAATCCAATAAATGTTGCGAAATCCATCAAGAAAATTCTTTCTCAGCGTCATCAGTTGGGTTTAAAAAACTTATTTAAACCTACAATTGACAGTAGAGGTCGATTGAAGACTTGAAGAAGCTAAAAAACACTAATATTTTATTATTTTTTATAGCTAGTAGTTAGCTCCGTAGTTCCATGTTATCTTGATACTTAACGTAATTATTTGGGTAATTTTTTTTAGTAAAACAGGGCTACGGAAAACCAAGAGATTGGAAGGTAAAAGGTGGTTCATAGAAAAACGAGAATTTTTCTATGCCGTGCCATAAGAGTATGCTTTTGGAAATCGTTTATGATATTCAGCATTAGGTTTAGTTTGATAACACTTAATGAACTGGCCAAGAACTAAATATTATATCTTCTAATGGCTTTTTATGGGGAAGTTTCTTTTATTTTCCTTCCAACTAGTTGCCGATAGTTCAATGAATTTCTTTTTAATGTCCCTAGGATTTAGAATTTGATTTTGATAGTTTTGAAATCTCTTTGCTAGCAATTGATAGAGGCTTGATTAATAGTTTACCAATTATTTTGATAGGATCTGTCCCAGAATTTAAAGCGGATCTTTTTGCTTTCTATATTTGAAGGTTTACTGATGAATTATTGACTCTCAATCAATTAGTTGATTGATTGACGAAAGTCCTCGTAAAATAAAATAATTTCTCTTATTGATCGCCAATGATGACAAGTGTTTCTCACTCTCAATTTAATTTTGAATTGAAAATTAAGGCAAATTCAGATTAACCAGGAAACTAGTCCTTACAAACGATATGTATTTTCCCACATGTTTCAGTACGCTTTTGTCGTATTATTATACGGGGCGTCAATTTGAAAACTTCCCATCTGTAAATAATTTTTTCAATTAAAAATATTTAAAAATCGAAAAGACATCAATTTTCAATTCAAGAATATTTTTGGATTTCTTGTTTCAATCCCCTAGGAGAGGTAGATGTCACGCTTAGAATCTTAAACAAAACCCATGGTATCTACTTACACAGTAATTTAACTTTTTTTGTTGACTTTTTAAAATAAGATCGGGATATCAGATTAAAAAAATCTGGATATCAGCTTGACGGAGGTCGGACTTATCTACTGCAAGTTCTACCTTTGCTCAAAGAAAAGTTAAAAACTTGTTCAAAAACTGTGGAAATAAGCCACACAGTGAGGCCCGTTGTGCCTAAAGTGTCACATTAAAAGCATCGCTCATATTGCACGAGGCTCACCTAGAATGCTACCCTCATCATATTTAGAAATCAAATTTGAAGACAAATCTTGTAAGTAATGTTTGCAAGAAAATATTGGGTTTACAGCTAACGACCTGGATATATTTAGAATAAGGATTTTTGATCTTTGGAATCTTTTAAATTTATTTGCATGGAGTGCGAAGAAACAGCACAGATAATGCGTTTTCAGTTATGTCTCAAATCTTCAATCCGATGCACCGTCTATTTTCATTTTTCCCACACACCAAGTCGACAACGTCGATCGACAGTGTCGAGTCGGTGAGGACGCAGCTTTAGTTATCGAAAATTTTAGAACATTCTAGATTAAAGCGTCTTCTGGTCTCGAATGCTAACAAAATCTATTTCAAATAATCGTCGTTTTTACAGGCGTCATTACTATTTATTCACGTTAATAAGAAGTCGGACTGGAATGTATACGAATATTTTGAACAGCATCTGTAAGCGATATTTTGAAAAGAAAAGTCCGTTTCAATTTACGACAGTGCTGCTTCAAATGCTTCGAAATGGTCTTCTAAAGTGTTGTTAATAAAAAATGTTTCCTTTTTTCATAATTCGACTTTCCTTGCTTGATAAAGTTTGCCAAGACTGTGATTTTTAAGTTATCGAGCAGCCACAAAAGCATGTGAAGCATATCGGTTGTCTAGCATACGGCACACTTTGGCCACTTGGAAGAAGAGGACAGAATTTCGATAAAATCGAAAATAGGAGTATTTATTTAGAAACATCAGTTGAGCCTCTCCAATGTTATGCCTATTCTTAGCTCCTTTCCATCAAATCTACAGGGTGTTCAGTAAATATGTTAAAATATTCTAACAGCGTGTCCTTCTAGTAATTTAAGAAGGGGGTTCTTCTTGAGAATTTTTTAAATTTGACGTTTCGTTGTTGAGTTATTTGATTTCCAAAATAGCGGAAAATATTAGTACTATTTACCAACTTTTTAATCTCTTATTGATTTTTCCTAAGACCACTAGTTTGCCCGCAAAAAATAAAATCGTTTTCGTTGCCGTTCTCCAAATCTGTAAGTAATTAAGTTAATTTCTAAAAATCTAATAACGTTTTCATATAACAATTTTAGTACGCATTATTAGTTGATTACTAACAACCTAAATTTATTTTCTAAACTGTGTATTTTGGTTCAGATTACAACTATTATGTTTGAATAAATGTTACTTAAATAAAAATATGGTAATAATATGCGCAACGATATAAACAAGCAAAATTAAATTTAAATAGTCATTCTAATGTTAAGTTAGCAGCTGTTAAAATTGGTCACCTTGACATTCTTGGCATAATCGCAGTCTTTTAATGAAATTAAAWTTTACAGACCGTAAAGTTTGCACTGAAGTTCTTATTTCACTAGAAATATTAAATATTCTTTCTTAAAGTTATTCGATTGAATTCACCTCTGTTGAATTAACCGTATTTCTTAAATCTCCCCAGAAGTAAAAATCGAGCGCGTTTAGATCGGTAGGTCTAAGAAGCGAGTTTAT